ACTTTAGTATCAGACAGTAATCTTTTTTGAACATAGGTCGTAACATGCTACACCATCTGTAACTATAAGGTGCAATCATGACACACTATAAAAATCTAAGCTTCCAGTCATATTGTTATAAATCTTGCAGGGTTTCAGTGGTTTTAGTGGCAAAAAAAAAAAAAGTTATTTGGCTAAACTGTCATGAATTGTCATCAGTTCTCTAAATGTTTTGACTCTGGGCAGACTGTGCACTTTGAGGCTAAGTGCAGAAATTAAACTCTGAAGGCAGAAACATAATTGTTCATGCTATTTTTGTGTCCATGTAGGCAGCAGATTGTGCGTGCATGCACTCGTGTTCATAGTTCAGCTGCTCCGCAGTGGTCCACTCAGGGGTCTGCAGTTTTTACTTCAGCCACAGGTGGCGACGATGGGCTGAGTTGGTAACTGTTTATTCACAAAATAAGATGAAAGAGTTTGAGTGATTCCCCACCAGGAAATCTGACGCAGATTTTGTGTCCGTTTGGTTTTTGAATCTTACATTATTCTCATGACAGAGGGAAGTCTTCTTATCCAGTATTCAATCAAAACAATTTTCTTATATTGTTTGTGCTTTGACCAAAGACATATTAACAGACCAAGTGTCCCCGTCTTTTACATCTTAAAACTTGTACTGTATTCAGCCAATAGGGAAGATGGTCCCACTCTGGCTTTAACTTTGGTGTTCCGATCAGAGGTTTACATATTTTTTGTAGTTTTTAGGTTTGACCTGCTGCCTCTTTGCCTATTGCCTATTTGACTTTAAGTTTAATAAACAGATACACTCTGTTCTACAACCAAACTTGTTCCACTTAAGTCAGATAGCTAAACTTAAGTCCAGGTCGACCAGATCTGACCTTGATAATTTAGTCCATGCATTTGTTACAACCCGACTTGATAACTGTAACACGCTTTATGTTGGGGTCAGTCAGGTCTCACTTTCACGTCTCCAGCTCGTCCAAAATGCTGCAGCTCGGATCTGAACAGGAACTCATAGGTTTGAGCATGTTTCACCAGTTTTGTCCTCCCTTCACTGGCTCACTGTGCATGTCAGAATTTATTTTTAAAATTCTCCTATTGACCTTTAACTGCATTCATGGCCTTGCACCCTTACACCTCTCTGACCTACTTCAACCTTATGTTCCTTCTCCGGCGCTGAGCTCATCAGACCAGTGGCTTTTGGTTGTACCAAAAACCAGGTTGAAGCTCAAAGGAGATCAGGCTTTTTCAGGCACGGCCTTAAACTCTGGAACGATCTCAACATTAGACAGGTCAAGTCACTTCCTGTTTTTAAATCTCTCCTGAAAACACACCTGCACTTACTGACATTTAACACAGTGTGATTTGATGTATACTTAATTGTTTCTCATTGTTGTTGTGTTGTTATTTATGATGCTTTAAACTACATCTTATTCTTTTTTCTTTAATTACTGTCTTGATCTTTTTGTGAAGCACTTTGGTAACAGCTGCTGTTTTAAATGTGCTTTATAAATAAATGTGTCTTTGACTTATTGTATTTTGGGTGCCATATTTTGGAAGTGACACTGTTTGTCCACTGAGGGTTCTGGTGGACGTTAGCAGCCAGATAAAGATGACACAATACCAGGGGAAGTAGAAGGCATGCACAGCCATGTTAAGACCTTTAAAATGAGCGTATTGCTGTCTATTGCAGGTAAGACACTCCTTACTTATAAACACATCAGCAAACCTCTTCTAAAAGTTGAAAATCCTTTTCCTGTGCATGTTTAGCTGGTTATCATGCTGGTCACTTTGTTCACCCAATATATATTTTATTGATTCAGCTGTATCAGACAAGTTTCTGTGCAACCCATCACAAGATAAACACGTGCAGAAAGCAAAATAAGTTTACTTACTTTTTAGAAATTTTAATAACACGCTGCTTTTATATCAAGACCACAAGAAGCTGTTTATTCAGCAAACTGGACCAGTTTCCAACAAGACGGATGGGAAATGTTCAATCTTCTGAAGGCATCACATTTATTTGCCGAGGACATAAATAAAAATGTGAATCCAGGCTATTAAATGGTTTATTATATGATATTTGCTGCAATTCTTTCCCATTAATAGAACCATAATAAAGAAGAGGATGAATGAGGTAATTTGGAAATGACATTGTTACTTAGTTTGTTCATCTCAGATTTCATTGTTTACAGCAGTTTGAGAGCTGCCTGCAATGAATGTGACAGGCAGTTGCAAATAAAACAGCGAGCAGGAGTCAAGCAGGGTCTTAGCAGTAAGTGGCAAGACAGCTTGTGAAATTTATTCCTGGACAATTAAAAACCTCACCATTCCTTTTTTTGATATGACTCTTCCATTTATATTACAAAAGAAAAAAAAAAGAGTATGTCTGTGTTAGCCCTAAAACTCCACCATTAATTGGACTCTATTATTTTCAACCACAGATTTGATATTTGTTTAAAGCAAAAAGCTGTTTTGCCAGTTTTGTTTTCTTCTTTTCATACCTGGCCTGCAAAATGTAGGTCTGCCAAAGTATCTGGGCTCCTTTTCTGGTGTGCTAAAACCTAACAATCCCAGAGGCTCGGAGTGAACTCTTTTAAACCATCTGCCTTTGTTATCCAGTTGGGTAGGCACAACTAAGTAATTGGTGCTCTCTGTGTTGTTGCCCAATTACTCTCCGTCCTCGGTGGCTCAACCACGTCCATGCCTTAGACCACGGCCCATTTCCTGTCTTATTTCATATCTTAAGAAGTCCACATGAAGCAAAACAAAACAGTGAGTGCATTAAGCGGCATTGGTAATGACTGGAAACCCCTGCGAATGGCCACTTTCTTTGGACTGTCTCTTGAAAAGACTATAAAAAGGAGAAAAAACTGAATAAACCCACCAAAACATGGCAGGTTTGCCAACAAGGTTACAGTAAGTTTAATGCCTTTGAAGCTACAGTAAACAATTGGCTTTCTTCAGGAGGCATGGAGGGCAAAAAATACTGTCAACGTGCAACAAGAGAAACCTTTGAGGAATCGATCAGTCACTTTATTTACCAAAGAATGAGAAAATCATGAAGTTAAGGTAGTTAATTTATTCCTTGTTCCCAGTGAGTGAGACGGTGGAGCGTGGAGGAGCGTAAAAAGAGCAATGTAACATCGATTGTATGTATTTATCTCGTACTGGTCAGCAGTCTGGCTTGTTGCTATGCACTGGAGGTCATTCACCACGCTGAATCCCCATTGATCTCCTCTTTAGAGCCCTCTGAGACACCCAGAGCTCCATAATGAGAGTGATCCCACCTTCATAATAAATAAACACTCATGAATGAAACTCAACCTCCTACTGTAAATACATTAGCTCATGTGAAAGTCCATCAATATGCATGTGTAAACACAAGCATAAGCACATTTTTCCATCATGGACATCCCTCAGAAACACACACACACACACATGCTGGTCGGTAGAAACCAAGTTTATCACTGTCTCTTTCTATAATTTCTTGTACTGCGCCTCCTAACTGCATGTAAGAGCATGCGTTAATTCAGACATCATTTAATAAGACGTGCAGCCAGACTGCCTTGACCACTCCATAGAAAGGTGCTGAAAGGCAATTAGGTTGGGCAAATAGCCCTGCAGGCTCTCGAGGCCTAAGCCCTTCCATCCAGAGGCAAGACAGAGGGAGGAGGGTGAAGTAACGTTTCACACCAAAGTCAGAGTGAGTCTGGATTAGACAGCATTCCTAGCTCTTTCAGATGGACACAACAGAGCTTGTGGAAAACGCATTATTCTTTAATTTAAATGAGTCATCCTGCAAAATGGATTCACAACTGCTCCTCCCTGCTGTTAAAACGGGTTGGGACTTTTTTTTATAAGTTCTGATTGCATAGGATCTCCTCAGTCTAAGAGATTAGATGTGTTTTGTTTTTTTTCACCCCTAAACTAACTACCTACCCCAGTAATTATGCAATGAGATTTGACTTCCATCTGTTCGATTTTTGACGCTGAATAAACACAAAGACAGATTACACGAATGGTGCTCAGATGAATGACTGGCAGCTGTGGCTTGAAAATCTGTCATGAAAGCACTGATACTTAACCAAACCGACAGGAGGAGCTGAAATGTGTTTAAAACGTTTGCAGTTGCGTCCATCTATAGGCGCAAGTGAGACTCATTAAAAACTTTGAATTTGTAAGCTAATTTTTACAAATGATTCCAGAGTTTGAAAAAGAAGCTCAGTCAGTCCAGATGTTTGTGTTTTGCTGTAGCCTGATGAGACGATGCAGAACCTCAGCGGAGTTCAATGCAATCAGTGATGACCTTTGACATTACAATGTGCCAAAAGTAAAGAAACAATGCCTGTCAAACTCAAACTGGAGCATTGTTAGACAGCCATCATCCACAGATGTGTCACTTCCTCCCACATCAACACATTCCTGGCTACATTCAATAAAAAATGCAGCTGTGGAAACTAAAGAGAAAGCTGGGAAATGGTGCTCTATGGAGCAAAAGCGTTTGAGGCTCAGCATCGCTATTTGAGATATACTTTAAAGGTAGAGATCCAAGTAGTCTTTAAGATCTCGCTTATTTCTATAAATAGAAACACCGCTGATAGCTACACTTCCAGTAACACTTACTGTATGCATCGAGGAGCAGCGGTAAAGTACAATGGAGTTAATTTTGATTTTTTTTTTTTTTGCTGTATTTTTTGCGATTTGAAAATTTGCACTGATCACAAACAGTGGAAGAACCGCCATGATACAAGAATGTGACAACACAGATGGAGCATTCTTTTTCTACTTTCTCCAAGTCATTTTACAGAATTAAATCCTGAAGGAAGATTAGTGCCTATAAGCATTCCATATGCCATAATTAAAAAAGCACATCAGTGGAAAAAAAAAAAAAAAAAAAAGAAGAAGCTCAATCAAGCCACACATTTTTTTGGGAAAAGTTCTCCATTTGACTCAAGAAATATGAAATTAAAAAAGTGACGGAGTTATTGGCTTGGACTTACCATTGTTGCCAAAGTCCAGCGAGTACTTGACCACATGGTAATTATTCCACACATACAGCAGGTTGTCTCTAGGGTTGTAATCCACTGCAGCTATATACTGGTAGGAGTTGGGAAACGGTATGTTCACCGTCATTTCCTTGCCCTTGTCGGTGTTGTACATGTAGTCAATCTTGTTCCCCGTCCCTTCGTTGTCATCATCTTCATATACAGTTTTGACGACATACAAGACCCCGCAGATCATGAAAGCGTTGGAAGCAGAGCGTTTGTCATAGCTGGTATCCCAGGAGCCTTCGATGCGTAAGGTGTAAGGGTTGAGCTGGCTCACTACAATGCGCCCGTTGTTCTGCTCTGTTGCATAGATCACCCACAATCCATTCTCATCCACAGCAAGGTCGATGTCTGACTTGCCCCCCCAGCGGTATGGCGAAGTGTCATGGTAGTTGGCATTGGCAATAATCGCCTCACCGCTTTTGATGCGTGTGCGCAGGTCAAACTTGACGATGTTGCGGGTACGCTCTTTGTTGAAGAACAGCGCACCGTCATAGACAACAAAACCTGTCCCGTCCACTCGGTGTGGCAGCTTGTATGTGGTTGTGGGACGGCCTGCGATGAAGTCCTCTTTTGACGAATACTCTGTAAGTGTGTCTGTGCGGTATGGCGTCCAGGGCATGTAGTAAATCTTGTCTGAAGCTTGCAGTGGGTCTTTGCACCACGCACCCGACTGGTGGTCAGACTCAAAGAGATGCTCACTTTGGTATACTCCCCGTAGGATGCCAGGACACAAAAATACTGAGGAACAAGTAAAAAACAGTTTGGATTATTTACCAATTAGATATAAAATGCCCACTATTTTTTTTTACCTATCCTTAGTAACCAGAAAATGATGATGACATGATATGGTTAGTGCATTAAAATTTGGAAAACTTGCTATTTTTATACAAAGCAACATCGTGCCATCCATTCAACTGATAACACCCCACTCACAAGAGATAAAGAGAAAATGGCACATTTTGTTCCACTTCCACCCTTTCTCTCTATTCCCATTTCACTCCCTGCTCAGTTTCTCATTAGTCTCACAACTCTTTCTTCCTTTCACTCCTTTTCTATTTCTGTCAGTAACCACCAACTGCAGAAGTGAGTACATCTTTTATCACCCACTATTTTCCTTTTTTTTTTTTAACAAGTTGTAACAATAATTATTTCTCCACTCCGCGCTCTGTATTCCCATCTTGGAATATTGAGGTCATGTTTTACGACGGATGTGGGAGATGGAGCAAATTTTGGGAAGCCACTGTAACCAATCATGGAACGGCTTTGTGATTTAACTGGAATGCCATTGCGTCCACACGGCAGATATAGAAAAGCCAGCTGTGCTTTGTGGTTTTCCCATTCTTCTCAATGGTGCATTTCCAAATTCCACACAAGAAGCCGGAGAATATTGATTGAATATTCTTTGGCGTTTCAAACTACTGGCAATGCTTCAGTATCACAGAGAAGCATTTAAAATATTAAATGTCATTGTAATTCTCTGTTCAGCAGCTCATTATAGAAATGTACTCGACCCATGGAGAGTTTGTTAAGTGACATTCCACACAATACCCTGGAATAATACGGCCCTAGAGTGTGTCTAATGAGAACTAGTGTTCCTAAATTGCCTCTATATGCAAGCTGTCTTAATATAGCAGAAGCAATTTTAAAAGGACAGGACACATTTACACAAGATACAAAACATTTTAGGGGCCTGGCAAAAAAACTTGTGACTTAATCCTAGATTTTGAGTATTTGTGTCTGAATGTGTGTTCCAGTGACTTACCTTTTTGTTCTACTTCTGCACGTGCCATAGGCAAAAGATGAAGGGGATTAAAGAAGAGAACAAGAGAGAGAAGGAGACAAGAGACAAAAATAGATTAATGATGCAATAATAAGGAAATCATGATAATACAATCTTGGATCTCCATAATCGTCCTCATATTTCATTCTAACCTTGTGAGTGTGCCAGGATGCTCTCCATGTGTGATTGGTAATAACATTACATAAGTGTCTGAGGAGACTCCACTGCAACGGGAAAGCTATCTGACAGCCTTGCATCTTACACATGTTGCACACACACACACACACACACACATATGAAAGGGAACAGAGACGCACATGTCGGACAGACACAAAAAGTGGGAGCGAGATGTCAAACAAACAACACAATGCGCACAAGCACACACGTAGTCACAGTGCCCCTGGTGGTCTCATCCCTTGTGAAGAACGACATGCAGCAAAACAATATGACCAGGGATAATGAGCTCATTCAATGTCTGCTAATAGCAACAGAGCAATGAAAACGACAAAATAGATGTGATTACTGGGATTGCTTTTCAGTGAACCAGTCCGAACTGTTAAATTAACATGCTTTCTGGGGCACAATAGGTGAGCTCATGTTTTGTGTACATCATGTATTTATATATTTATATTATTTTTTGTGACTGTGTATGAGCGTGCAAAAATCTGTATCAGGACATGGGAGCCAGTTAGCTTCAACCCTAACTCCAATTCCCTGTCTATTACACACAAAGCCCAGTCCGTTAAGCTACTCAAGACTTTGTAGTGAAATGTGCACACTTGCGAGAAATCTCTTAAACATATGAATTTCATTCCACCTCGGTCCCTCGGGGACTGAGTGGAATGTGAACATGGCAGAAACCTAATCCTGCAGGCAGTGCCCTTGTGTCTTTCAAGACTGTTATAGACCTGCTGCATGGAAGTAGTCCCCTGAGATGCCAGAGGAAAGGAGGAGAGAGAGGAGCGTCCTCCGAGGAAAAACATTCTGCAGAACTTCTGGATGGCACATGGTTATATATAGCACATGTGCGCTACATGCATAAATTCTTCAACACATTCAAGTTTGAACTCATCACCAGCAAACACAACACATGGTGGGAAAAAGAAAACGCACGAAAGCACGCACCACCCAACACACACACACAGAGACACACACGAACAACCATTAAATCCTTGGCTCATGAAAAATGCATGGTAACTGGTGCGGCTTAGCACAACTCCCGATAAATAAGCAATCTCTAGAAGAAGATCGTGTTGAATTCCAAACCGAAAACAAGTGTGTTCATTTGTGTGTATGTGTGTGTTCTTGTGTGGGACATCGAGTTAAGCTTTAAAATGATTCAACACACAAAAGCAACTCCCTTGTGTGGAAACTGGAAAGGAAGGCAGATAGTCTGTCTACGCAATGGTGCTATGTGTGTGAATGAACGACAGACAACAGGGAACTAAACACAAATACACACATTCATACACACAGTGCAACATTTTGCTTTAGAGGACATAGATTGATGACACAAAAACAATAAGGCCTTCAAATTACCTGCAGCTCTTATACAACCTCCCAGAGACAGAGCAGAAACATGTAGAGTTCAAGGTTGTCGGCAACTAATAGATTTCAAATGAAAGCGTGGCGGACAACAAGTATACCAAATGGCACAGAAAATGTCAAACAAATGCCATTCAATTTGTGCCTCTGCTCAGCGTTTCACTAGATTAATGGATGTCTCTACCGCTAAGCTTATTGCAGGATTTTTTTTTTGTTTTCAGGTGTCTCTTTTTTAATCTCCAGGACAAGCGTAAGAAATCAGATTTTTCCCTCAGATCCCAGACATTCATTTTAAGAAGCGAAGGATTCCGCAGGGCAAGAATGTGCCGATAAGATGTATGTCGAAAAGTCAAGGTCTTGTCAGAGGCATGCATACGAGATGATGCAAAAGATGAGAAGTGTTCTCTACCATGCCTAATTTAACTACTAAGCATAGCTAAAAGAAAAAGAAAAGAAAATATGGGCTATGACAGCTTGCGAGAAAAACGTCCTTATTTCCGAGGGGAACATCAACAAGGAAGCATCGTCTGTCAGTGTCTCCCTTTTCTCAACATTATTCAGAGCTGAATTCAGCAGAGGAAGTGGTGCGTTTTTATGTATCCACTATCTTTGACAGATCATTTGCACAATCACTTACTGTACCTATGCAGTGACAGAAAAACTGTGCTCATTTATTCTCAGCAAGGCTTTGAATGAATATTAGAAAACACTGTTCGAATAATAAGGAAGCATCACTTGTCTGGTTTCACATTTATTTAAAAATCATCTAATTAGTCATTAACATGAGCAGTAATATTTTTTCATTCCTGTGAGTAGTGCTTCATTTGTACCTTGGATTCTTTCTCTGTTCTTTGTTTCTCTTGTACACATACAGAAGCAGTGTTAACCTAAACTGTGCTGCACTGTAAAGGTAATTAGCACTTTTATTGAAAACGTATGGTTTATTAAGGAGGTGGTCATCTAGGAGGAAGAGACACCGTGTGCTCAAGTGTGTGTGTATATCGTTTGTACGTGTGAAGCGCAGCCATGCTTGCGTGCACATCTCTGCAGACAACGAGTGGCGACAGCAGCCTCACTGCGATTATCACTGATCTACAATCAGTTCAGATCCCGAGCCCAAGGTCGTTTCTGGACACAGGCGTTTTCTGCTTTCTCTCTCTCCTTGTCCTCATATCCTCACCTGCCATCCTGGTTCATTATTTCACTCCATGCTTCGCTCCTTGTTCAGTCTCTCCATTAACTCCTCTGTATTTCCAACACTTCCACCCCTCCCCAAGCCAAACCCTGTCCACCTCTCACACAGCTCTTATTTTTTTTATCAGTTAATTCATTCATTCCGTTCTTCGTCTGCTGGTCTCGTCTAACCCATTTCCCTCTATCTCTGTTTCAGCTGTCGCACCGCCGTCTCTCCTTCTGTCTCCTTGGTTCCTTTCCCATCTTCCCCTTTCTCCTTGATTTCTCTGGAAAACGCACACACAACGCCTGCATACATGCCCACACAAACACATCAGACTTGCGTGTGCACTCACACTGATGGCACACACAAGAAAAAAAATTCAGGCGCTGAGTGACTTGTTTCCAAGACAACACACACACAGCTCCTCTGGTGTCATCATGATGAAGTTATTCCAAGGGTCCAACCTGACAGAAGTCCTTAATTGGACAGACAAGAAAGTGATTTTATCTTTTAATTAGCTTTCCTACTGAGCCAACTTCTATTGTTTTAAATAGACTGCATGGGTATTGCATAACATATCACTGGCTTTTTCTGATTAATAATTGCTAATTGCTTCATAACAGCAACCAAGAGGGAGCCATGTTAGGCTGAATGAAGATGAGGAAACCGATAGACGTGGCTCGTGTGTCTGTTTTGAAAGTTCGAACATGAATGAAATTATACAGATCTCATCATTTTTCTGTGGCGCTGGACAATGTTACTTAGATTAAATGTATCCATGTATAACAGTTGCCTTGGTGAAGCACTTTGTGCAGCAGTGCACTAATGGATGTATGGATATTTATAGTATGCCTGCAGTGCTATGAGAGAGTATACACAGGTGGCTAATTACTGCAAAACCTAGCTGGCTAGTTTGGCACACGATCACCACACACTCGCACCACACCGAGCCAGAGAGGGAGAGAAAGAGACAGCACTTGATTGTAGCTTTGGAAAACAGCCAAAAGCATACAGCGCAACGAGGAGAGATGAGAAGCGGCTCAGGTATTGCAAGCCAAAAAAATTTAGCAGGGAATAAAGAAGGGGTTCTTGGGGGAGATTGAGGTGCAAATTTTCCCAGAAAAATGAACTGTACATAATTGAATTACCTGTTTTACAACCCACTATGAGGATTGTTTACAGTATCTGTGGAGTGGGAACTGTACCAGTTGTAGCTGAATGGCAGTTCTCAGGGAAAAAGTGCATCTGTAGTGTGAAGTCGTGTCTCTCCGGAGCACAGCTCATGTTCTTTCCATGCACTCGGTTTGTGATTAGCAACGCCTGCCCTCAGAGACGACTGCACAGAGGTCAGGTGTTTACGCTTAACAAACAGCGCCACCCGTGTGCTTAATGTCTGGGGAGACGTACGAGTTATGGATGTCCCTTGACATTTCACACGTTTGATTGTGCTAAATCCAAACTCGCCTTTGAACATAATAATGATTTATTAAAGTTGGAGCTTGTTTTAGAAAGGCAACAGTTTGATTGCACATTTAAGTCAGAAAACAAGCCGTCTTTGTCGAATCCTCTTGATCTATGGCAACATTTTGGGCAATTTTTTTTCAGCACTAATGCCTTACAAAACTTATCTCTCACATCAGCGCTGTTGACGGCATTGATTTGCTGTGCAAAGCACGCTGTGTGATCGTTGACGGCTGATTCTCCAGACTGAACGTCAGCGTGTTCCGAGATTTGGACATTATTACACCTTTCAAAGACAAATTGATTTCATAAATATTTGACAAATGCCTCCATGAAGAGTTGTTCCGTGTAAAGGTTGAGGTATTCTCAAAAAAATATGGAAAAAAAAGTCTAAAATGTGGAGCCAATGACACCCGATGCCTCCTTATTTTATCTTTAAACTAAATGTTTTTCTTTGTAAACAATTCATGTGGGTAAACACTCACAGAAGCGAGGTATTGTATCATGGAGCTACCTGATCCAGCCTGAGCACTTCAGACAGAATGATGAAGATGCTAATGTACTGTCAAAGTCCTCTCTCCTTCACTGTCTTCTTCTATTGTGTTCCTTCATCTTCCTGACAAAGCTCCCTCCTTCTGTGAGCTGAGCTCTAATGACTTTGTATCAGATGCCGTCTATTTTTGCAGAGAGAAGTTACCCTAGCTGACCCGCTGTTTATCAGCTTAGCATGCAACTCATCTCCCATTGATCTTCAGACGCTTTTCGTTGCAGCAGCGATTCCAGAAGCGTTGCTGTATGTTCATGAAAAAGCTAA